TGGAAGCTATATTGTCCTGGCCACTTCCCCAAGGACTAAAAGCTATCCAGCGTTTTATAGGATTTGCCAACTATTATAGGAAATTTATAAAAAACTTTTCACCACTCATATCTCCCATAACGAAGTTGACAAAAAAAGGTCTACATCCTAGGGTTTGGACTCCTGAAGCCCTTAAAGGCCTTCGAAACCCTCAAGAAGGCATTTGCCTCTGCTCCAGTGCTGCACCACCCTGATCCTTCTCTTCCCTTTATTATGGAAGTAGACGCCTCAGAGTCAGGTGTGGGAGCCGTACTGTCACAGAGGTTGTCTTATGACAAACCCCTCCATCCCTGTTGTTATTTTTCTAAAAGGTTGTCTGATTCAGAGAAGAATTATGATGTTGGGAATAGGGAACTATTAGCTATTGTGTTAGCTTTCAAGGAATGGAGGTACTTATTAGAGGGGTCTAGACACAAAATTATGGTTATAACAGATCATAAGAATCTATCCTATATTGCTGATGCTAGAAGGTTATCTGCCCGGCAGGCTAGATGGTCTCTATTTCTCTCACGCTTCCAATATGTTATCACCTATAGACCTGGTTGCCGTAATGCCAAGGCTGACGCCATCTCTCGGCAGCATGAACCAGTAGAATTTGTTAACCCGACTCCTGAACCTATTGTACCTGAGTCTCAGATAATAGCTGCTACCCGTTTGGTTATTTCTTCGCCTTTCCTTACCAGTATTAAGACATACCAAACCCAGGCACCCCCTGAGACGCCGGTTGGTAAACTATACGTTGAAGCTAATGACAGAAAAAAGTTGTTAACTTTATTTCACACAGCCAAAACTGCTGGTCATCCGGGGGTTACCAAAACCTACAAGGGCATCCTTCAACAGTTCTGGTGGCCTTCACTCAAGCGAGACGTAGTGGATTTTGTTCAGGCTTGTCAGGTCTGCACGCAGTGTAAGTCCCTTAATATGAGACCCCAGGGTTTTCTGATGCCTCTATCTATACCCAAGAAACCATGGACCCACTTATCCATGGATTTCATTGTAGACCTGCCTCTTTCTGATGGTCAGACGGTGATACTGACTGTGACGGATAGGTTCTCTAAAATGGCACACTTCATTCCGCTTAAGAAACTGCCTTCTGCGGTTCAGTTAGCTCAGGTATTTGCCAAAGAAGTGTTCCGATTGCATGGGGTACCCCAGGATATCGTATCTGACAGGGGCCCTCAATTTGTCTCTCGGTTCTGGAGGGGCTTTTGTGCTGAGATGGGGGTATCCTTGTCGTTTTCTTCCTCCTATCACCCGCAATCTAATGGTGCGGCTGAACGTGCTAATCAGTCTGTGGAATTGTATTTGCGCTGCTTCACTAATGCGCACCAGGACGACTGGTCTCGCCTTCTTCCGTGGGCTGAATTTGCCAGGAATGCGGTGTCTCATTCGTCTACTGGCTTAAGTCCTTTTGAGGTTGCTTATGGGTTTCGTCCTTCTGTCCTTCCCGGTGCGTTCTCCGACAAGGGAATACCCGCCTTGGACCAGCACCTCGCCTCTTTGCGGAAGACATGGGATCAAGTCCATGTTGCGCTGTCTCGTTCAGCGGCTGCTCAGAAAAAGTTTGCTGATCGCCGTAGGGTTGCGGCCCCTTCCTATGTTCCGGGTGATAGGGTATGGTTGTCGTCCCGGAACCTCCGTCTCAAGGTTCCCTCGATGAAATTCGCCCCCAGATTTCTTGGTCCCTTCAAGGTGTTACGTAGGGTTAATCCCGTTTCCTACTCCCTTGATTTGCCTCCTTCCATGCGTGTCCCGAACACGTTTCACGTCTCGCTTTTGAAACCCTTGCTGTGTAACCGGTTCTCTCGTCCCCTCGGGCGGCCCGTTTCCCCTCGAGCTGTCTCTGACGACATGTACGAGGTGGCTACCCTTCTCGACTCTCGTGTTTCTAGGGGTCGGCTGCAATATTTGGTGGACTGGAAGGGGTACGGCCCTGAGGAGCGGTCCTGGGTTTCAAGCTCCGATGTGCACGCTCCCTCTTTGGTCCGCTCCTTTCATGCCCGCTTTCCTTTGAGGCCTTCCGCTTCCCACCCCCTGGGTGGTCTTCGAGGGGGGGGTAATGTCAGGCTCCCGCGGACGGCTGCGAGGGGAGGCTGCACTCCGCTCGCAGTACTCACCCTCCAGCCGTCCGCGGTCCCCTCCGCCTCGTGGGTACGGCGAGCGGCATCCTTCCAGCCTCGGATGCCGCCCGCCGTTCCCTCCACGTCCCCCAGCGGCAGCATGCATGACGCTGCACGCTGGGAGACCGCCCAGGTTTATACACGCCGGGGTCAGTCACCTGACCCGGCGTTAAAGGCAAAGTGCCACAATCACGGTGGGAGGTCTAAATATCTCCCACGTGTGATTGTTAATTCTGATTGGAAATCATCCAATCAGAATTAACCTGATGGTTTAAATACTTACCTTTCCTGTTCCTCCTTGCCCTGTTGTGGTCTTTGCTTGTTAGTATTGATTCTGAACTTGTGCTTCTGGTTACATACTCTCTGGCTTGTTATTCGACTCTGTGACTTTCTCCTACCCTTTGACCTCGGCTTGTTTCACGTTATTCTGTCTTCTGGTTCCCCTTACTCGGCTTGTTTTCCTGACTATTCTTTGTGTGCTTAGCCCGGCCACTCTAAGGTCCGGTACGGCACTTTGTGTGTGTGTGTGTGTGTGTTGGCGTGTTTGGTTCCCCGAATCGTGACAATAAGTGGCTGAGCAGCCACAACGAACAACCTAGCTTTACCAGTAACCACCGCCCTATCAGGAAGCCGAGACAGTTCACGATTGACAAGACTTCTGCTGAATCCACCTCAGATTCTGACAATCAATATACACCAGAAAACCCAAGACCCTCTGTACATTTTTTAGAGAGAGGCAATACTTCAACGGGCATAACTACATGGCAGCAGTCCAGACAAGAGTTCGAAGCAAACGACACATTACTTGACGTGGACAGAGGGGTAACACATTCTGGGGCAAGAGGCAGACCACCACGGCAGAGATCTATCTTTAATCTATCCACCCGCACCTTGACACAACAAGAAAATTCTCTACTCATGAAAGGACTATCGTTTATACCTACTCACTTTCCAGAACCATTATCACAGGAAATTGAAATATACAAGTTCGGCAGATCTTTAAGACTTAAAGACTTCTTCAAAAAGACTCCAACTCCATCCAGTGGTGCCCTCAACAAATTCAAACCCAAAAGCTCATTTGATCCCCTGCCTAATCAACCTACGATTAAAGCCTTTCTCAGATAAATCAACCAAGAGACTCAACTACACATCAAAGAACATTCTAAACCGTCTACCAATATTACAAAGGAAGAAAGGAAAATAATTTTTTCACTAGCCAAGGATCCTAACCTAATCATCTGCCCAGCGGATAAAGGAGGCGGCATAGTTCTCCTGAACTACAACAACTACATAGGGGAAATACTATCACAACTTCAAGATACATCAACCTATCAGAGAGGATAATGTTGACCATCTTTAACACTCTGCAAAGAGCTCTAGACACAACGTACATAACCACAGAACTTTTTCAGTATCTCTATCAGGAATATCCTAAAACTCCAATCATTTACACACTACCCAAGATGCACAAGGACCCTACAAGGCCTCCAGGTAGACCGTCTCAGGTAGATTGTCTCGGCCATCGGGGGAGAATTGGAACCAATAGCCAAATGGCATGACTTTCTTTTCAAAGAAACTATTGAGAACCTACCTACCTGCATCAAAGATACCCCAAGCTTACTCCAATCTTTCAGAAATACCGATATCCTGGACCCTGCTGCATTGTTCATAACATGTGATGTGAAAAACCTGTACACTATTATACCACACCAAGATGGTATCGAAGCTATGCGCAAACTATTGACCACCCCCACATACTATGTGGGCCCACCCATAGACTACACCATGGAATTACTACATCTTGTTCTAAGCATGAATTACTTCAGATTTGAAAGTACATGGTATCAACAGATCTCTGGGTCATCAATGGGGGTGGCCATGTCCCCCATGTACGCAAACGGCTACATGAACATCTTCGAGCAGGAGAACATCCTAACCCCCTTTCAAGCCAACATTGCTTTTTACAGACGATTCATCGATGACATCATCATGATATGGAATGGCACACCGGATTCCACCACACAGATGCTTGAGACTATCAACCAACCTGATACCCCGGTACGACTCACCATGACAATGGATCCATACACGGTTGACTTCCTGGACATACGTCTCTACAAAGAAAATAACCATAGCCTATACTCTCTTCAGCAAGCCAACAGAAAGAAATACCCTCTTTCACACAACCAGCCATCATCCAAGACATCTCATTAACTCGCTGCCCTATTCTCAGTTCCTAAGGGTGATACGCAACAATTCCAATACCAGCAACACCCACATTCAGCTACAACAAATGTGGGGCAAGTTTAAAGCCAGGGGCTACAGCAACAAGATTTTGCAGACGGCCTTGGACAAGTGTTATGAGACACAGATAGCAAAACCCCCAAATAGCGAAAGACTTGTCTTCCCATCCACGTATACCACTATGTCACACCATCTTAAGGAATCACTGGACCGCAACTGGAGAATGATGAGAAATGATGAGTCTCTCCCACAAGCTTTCAAAGATTCCCCTATGATGTGCTATTGCAGAGGAAGAAACCTAAGGGACCTGTTGGTCAAAACAGACCCTACCCACTGCTACAACCCTCAATCAAAACATCTGAACACTGGATGCTATAGATGCTTGGGCTGCGTGACTTGCAGCCACATGATCCCATGTAAGTCATTCACACATCCCCACACAGGGAAGAAATTCACTATCCGCCACCGCCTGACATGCACGAGTGACTTTGTCATTTACAAACTGATGTGCCCTTGCGGCCTTTCGTACATAGGAAAGACAGACCTCCCACTCGGTGAAAGGATCCACAACCACCGCTCCAGCATTTGTGTGGCCTATAGAGACAATGGTTCAGACTTACCGGTGGCAAAACATTTCCTCGAGCATAATCATCCTTTATCGAGTATGAAATTCCTGGCTATCGACCACATACCCTTACCCATACGCGGCGGTGACCGCAAAAAACTTTTATTACAGAAAGAACTCTTCTGGTTAAGAACTCTCGACACGGTACATCCCAAAGGACTCAACGAAAAGTTCTCCCTGGGAATATTCCTATGATACATCAACTATATCCAGTATTTTTGTTAACATATTCTGTACTAGTATTCTGCATCATTGATCGGGCAGTATGTAAAGTAGTGAATCAGTAACTCACTGTACTCATGCCATGATCATATATTTTCTTCAACAGGATAACTACAATCCTGGGTACATGCTTTATATTTATACTTATTTTTATTATTGGCAACTATTGCATTTGCTGCAGTCAGCTTGTATCTATATGACCAATACTATATATGATTTATTCTTTTAACACTACTGCTACTGACCATGTGTATTGTTTATTATTGTTTATTTTTGCTTTATACTTGCAAGTGGACTATCATTTGCATTCCCTATCCATATGTCTTGTTTATAGAGCTTCTTCTATTATATGCCCTTACTAAACACACTATCCGATGGGCTCTTCTACATGACCAGGATTTTCCACCTGGTCTGTACCTTTAAATACATTGATGGCTATTAACTGAATCTAAGTCTGACTGTGAGTCATTAACGATTTTATTCACACCAGCTGCTAACACTCCTAGGGTCAATTGTAAGTACAGCTTGTATACATTGTTTTGATTATGTTAATGTGTATGTATGTTATATAAGCACTGTTGTTTGTACTGCACTGTATCCTGAGGAAAGTTCCATTAGAGAACTGAAACGTTGATCTACTACTGGCAGATGCCTGAATAAAAGCTAAGTTTTTTCACAATATATTTCTTTGAAGTCCTTGGAGTGCTATCATTATTACATTTCTATTATTTGGCTGTTAAGCACCGGGCTCTAACTCCCTATCCTGGAGTGCAAGCAATTGGAACTTTATATATACAGTTGCAAGAAAAAGTATGTGAACCCTTTGGAATGATGGATTTCTGCACAAATTGGTCATAAAATGTGATCTGATCATCATCTAAGTTACAACAATAGACAATCACAGTCTGCTTAAACTAATAACACACAAAGAATGAAATGTTGCCATGTTTTTATTGAACACACCATGTAAACATTCACAGTGCAGGTGGAAAAAGTATGTGAACCCTTGGATTTAATAACTGGTTGAACCTCCTTTGGCAGCAATAACTTCAACCAAACGTTTCCTGTAGTTGCAGATCAGACGTGCACAATGGTCAGGCGTAATTCTTGACCATTCCTCTTACAGAACTGTTTCAGTTCAGCAATATTCTTGGGATGTCTGGTGTGAATCGCTTTCTTGAGGTCATGCCACAGCATCTTAATCGGGTTGAGGTCAGGACTCAAGAAGGCGTATTTTCTTCTGTTTAAGCCATTCTGTTGTTGATTTACTTCTATGCTTTGGGTCATTGTCCTGTTGCAACACCCATCTTCTGTTGAGCTTTAGCTGCTAGACAGATGGCCTTAAGCAAAGCAGCCCCAAACCATGATCCCCCCACCACCATACTTCACAGTTGGGATGAGGTTTTGATGTTGGTGTGCTGTGCCTTTTTTTCGCCACACATAGTGTTGTGTGTTTCTTCCAAACAACTCAACTTTGGTTTCATCTGTCCACAGAATATTTTGCCAGTACTGCTGTGGAACATCCAGGTGCTCTTGTGCAAACTGTAAATGTGCAGCAATGTTTTGTTTGGACAGCAGTGGCTTCATCTGTGGTATCCTCCCATGAAATCCATTCTTGTTTAGTGTTTTACGTATTGTAGATTCGCTAACAGGGATGTTAGCATTTGCCAGTGACTTTTGTAAGTCTTTAGCTGACACTCTAGGATTCTTCTTCACCTCACTGAGCAGTCTGCACTGTGCTCTTGCAGTCATCTTTACTGGACGGCCACTCCTGGGGAGAGTAGCAGCAGTGCTGAACTTTCTCCATTTTTAGACAATTTGTCTTACCGTGGACTGATGAACAGCAAGGCTTTTGGAGATACTTTTTTTTTAAATAATTCTTTATTTTTGTTGTGCATAGTATATCAAACATGCTTGCAATGCCACAACAGCAATAACAAGCTGGTTCATCATTCACATGGTAAGACTGTAGTATGGCACATGGAGTAATGGTACAATTGTATGGTAATAACAGTATAGTAAAGTGCCTATTCAGGCTAAACATGCATGTCCTGACGATGTGTTGAATAGTGGAGAGATAGTCTCGACATGTAGCTAGATTTGTAGTAGCTCATTAATTGTAATTGACCATAACCACTATAATGATACAACGTGCGATAGAGATTGTTAAATAGTGGAGCCGCTTGAAGGGGACCCAACATTGTGGATGCTGCAGCACACAGAGTATATACAATTGAGTTTACACCCTCACAGAGAAGGTCACTGCTTGGGCGGTAAGTCTGGTTTTAGGATCCGTCAACCCTCAGGAGTTGGTACAGTTTTATGAGCGTTGTAACAGTGAAGATTCTCGTTTGGTTTCTAAATTGGTGGTAATTACAGGCTATGGGCATGCATTAAAGCTGCGTGCTGCCAGAGTTTCATACAGGAGGGAGTGGCACAAGCCTTCCTCCGTACTACAGCCTATGTGTAGGGTGTGTGTTCTCCTTTGGACGTCAGGTCCGTTTTGTTGCTTAATTATGTGTGTTTCGTTTGGTCTCTGTTGTTAGTAGCATCATCTTGGGTACGTCTGTTTTGTGTTTGCGATGTTAGCTGCGGCTTGTTCAGGTGGTCAGGGGTGGTTATCGTGTCTTTTGTCGTTTTGGTTTCGTGGTGTTATTGTGGGTATAGTCTATCGTGGGTATGTTATGGGTAGCTTGTGTATGGGGATATGGTATCGCGACTGCAGGGGGGGGGGGAGAGTGGGGGGGATGGAGGGAAGTCACTGAGCGGCCGGACGCCCCGGCCCCTGTCTTACACTCCCACTATGTGTCTCATAACCCAAGGGTCCCAGATTTTGTGGAAGTGTTTTGTCGTGTCGTGTAGAATGGCTGAGAGTTTGTCCATTTCCATGGTTTCATTAGTTTTTTGCATCATCTTTGTCAGTGTGGGTGTGTTATGGTTACCCCATTGCTCTGCTATGGTGCGTCTAGTAGCGAGGGCTATTTTCGCTACCAGTTTGTTTTGTGCCCTTGGTAATCTGGGTAGGGGTTTTGAGAGTAGCCACGTCCAAGGGTCCATGGGTATGTCTTCGTGCAATATTCTGGAGGTGAGGTTGGCAACCTCAGTCCAGAGTTGCGAGCTGTGTGGACAGTGCTACCATATGTGTATGTATGTACCTTGTTGTCCGCATTTTTTCCAACATGTGTCTGTTTGGGCTATGCCCATCTGTTTGAGTTTCAGAGGCGTTAGGTACCATCTGAGCATGGTTTTGTACGCCTGTTCTTTGTGGTTCACGCATATGGTTAGTGAGGCGTTTGCTTCCCGTATGCTTACCCAGGTTGTTGGGTCCTCTGGTGGGCCTATGTCTCTTTCCCATGCCTTTGTGTATGTGAGTGTGTCCGCTGGGGAGTTGGAGTTTAGTAGAGAGTATATCAGGGAGATTTGTCCTTTGTGTGTGGGGGCTTGTAGGCAGTTCGTCTCGAATCGAGTGAGTTTTGTGGTTGCTGTGTGTCAGGATCGTGACAGGGATCCAACACGCAGAATACAAACAGGAGATAGGTACGTATACCCGACCTTAGAATGGCCGGACTAACGTAAGGAGAAAGCAAAAGAATGGTCAGAGACAAGCCGAGGTCGAGGGAACGAGAGATTAGGTAAGCGAGAGACAAGCCGAGTCAAAAGGACAAGAGAGTAAAGCAGGGTCAAAAATACAAGCCGAATCAGGAACCAAAAGACAATAGAGGAAAGTGCACTGAGTGACCAGACTAGCTAGAACCACGACAGGGCAATGAATCATTCCACAGAACCCTTTTTTATACCTTGGCTCTTTAACTGTTGGCTCCGCCCCCAACGAGTCCTGATTCATTGTTCGGCACTAGGTTGCCGTGATTGACGGGTCGGAACGTGATTGCCGTCATGACGTCGGCTACTGAGCGCCGCGTCATAAAAGGAGGCGGAGCTATCGCGGCCGGCGTGTAAAAGGCCGGGAGGAGTGCGAGGATCGGGTGAGTCAGCCCCCCTAGGAGGATGGACGTCTAGGTGTCTAACCTCCTCCGAGGTAGACACCAAAGGTAACCTGACAGTACCCCCCCTCTCAGAAACGCCCACCGGGCGGAAGGAACCGGGGCGAGACGGAAAACGAGCATGAAATGCCCGGAGGAGACGAGGGGCATGCACATTTTCATGGACCACCCAAGACCTCTCTTCAGGCCCATACCCCTTCCAGTCAACAAGATATTGCAACTTCCCCCGAGAAATACGAGAATCGAGAATGGATTTGATTTCATATTCCTCCTGACCCTCAACCTGGACAGAGAGAGGGGAGGACTCAGCGGAGGAAAATCTGTTACAAACCAAAGGCTTCAACAAAGAAACATGAAAAGAGTTAGGGATGCGCAGGGCAGGCGGAAGGGCAAGACGATACGCAACCGGGTTAATCCGACACAGAACCTTGTAAGGGCCTATGTAACGAGGGGCAAATTTCATGGAAGGAACCTTCAAGCGGATGTTTCTGGTACTCAACCACACCCTATCACCCGGGGAAAAAACCGGAGCCACCCGTCTCCGTTTGTCAGCGTGTCGTTTGAACACCCTGGAATTCTGAAGAAGAATTCGTCGAGTCTGATCCCACAACTTTCTCAGATTGGCGACATGAACATCAACCGACGGAACCCCTTGGGAAGGGGAAACCGACGGAAGAATGGAAGGATGAAAGCCATAATTCAAGAAAAAGGGGCTAGAACGAGTAGAATCACAAACGAGATTGTTGTGTGCAAACCCAATCGTCCTGGTGTTCAGAAACAAAACAACGCAAATATTGTTCAATCTTTTGGTTGGTGCGTTCGGCAGCTCCGTTGGACTGGGGATGATAGGCAGATGAGAAATTCAACTTGATGCCTAAGTGAGAACAGAAAGACTTCCAAAAGCGGGAAACAAATTGGGAACCTCTATCAGAAACAATTTCAGAGGGAATACCATGTAAACGGAAAATCTCCCTCGCGAATATCTCAGCTAATTCGGGAGACGAGGGCAGTTTAGGCAAGGGCACGAAATGAGCCATTTTAGTAAACCTGTCAATCACCGTGAGAATAACAGTATGTTTTTTAGAAACAGGCAAATCGACAATGAAGTCCATAGCCAAACATGACCATGGTCTCTCGGGAATTTCTAAGGGGTGCAAAAGTCCACAAGGGAGCGCATGAGGTTGCTTAATCTTCATACAGACAGCACATGCCCCGACGAAATCCCTTATATCCTTACGAAGGGAAGGCCACCAGAAATCTTTAGAAATCAGGGAACACGTTTTGCGTATGCCGGGGTGCCCAGCAATTTTACTGTCATGAAAGCAATGCAGCAGTTCCACTTGGAGCTCAGGAGGAACGAAGTATCGAGCCCCAGGAACAGGTTTGGGAGCTAGATGTTGTACTTTCTTGATCTCAGCAAGCAACGGCGAGTGTATCCTGACACACGTGTTGGCAATAATTATTATTCCATAAATGTTACATGACCCACTGCAAGAATGGGAGATGGAAGGAGAGCAAAGGCAATGGTTTACATCTAAAGATTTGCAAGCAATTAAAAATAGTCTTGAATATTATTAGTAATCTTGCAATCTGTTCTACATTGAATCAGAACAGATTACAATCTTACATTTTTCTTTTTTTTCTTTTTATATCCATTTTTATTGTGATGTTAGCATGCAACATATGACAGAAAATACCAGTTTGTGACAAAAAAATTAAGTTAATCGATATACATTGTATGATTTAGGTTAAACTGGTATATGTAAAACATCTTCATTTATTAAATGAGACTACAAAGGGCACCATGCACAGATCACTTATCTAAACCAAAATGCAAAACTTGTGCATTGGCTATAATTCAAACTGCATGGATGGTCAGAATAGTCACAACTGGCCTATTTTGCCTCAGTTTTTTCACTCACATTTAATTTGCAATTGTGCGTGGTGTGTGTGGTGGCTATATGTAACGTGCGTCTGTGTGCTGCCTGTCTGTAATGTGTGTGTGGTTTGCACTTTCATTACAAACATAATCGTGAGATATCATGAGGAAATATGATTAGATGATAGCAGGGTTATAACTGGTAATCCGATAACTTTGGCATAAAATCGTGCTGAATGTGAAAATAATATAGAACAAATCGACAATTATTCACTGTATACTATAGGCCCGTGGGTATAGGGCCTTGATCCACACCACACATATGATAAAGTATCAAACGGAAAATAATATAAATAAAGTAGGTATGGAGCCAGGTAACACAACTGGAGATTCTAAGCTTAGTGGCCTGATATTATAACTTCAGCCAATTCCTGATCTTGGAGAATACATTTTATAATGCCTCCGTCCTTGAAACAAAGTCAGGAATCCATTCTAAGAGTCCCAGTGTATGTCCCGAGCATCATAGCTCCAGCCCTAGGCCTGAAGTAGAGCTAAGACCCCATGTCCACAGGCCCTACCTTCTTCAGAGCATGGGTCAGTGTCCCCAGATTGATTCACCCAGCTCCCATCCAACTTGCAGGGCTGTGATTGAGGAAACCCCTGAGGGTGTAGACTAAGTCCAGGGCAAATTCCTGTGGGACTCCAGGCCCAGGTGTGGCATGACACACCATGGTCTCACCGGATGTCCTCCCTGACACTTTGCTGCCGATTACCAACACTTTTCTAGAATTTAATGCCTAATGTGTCAAACACAAGGAAGACCGCTTTCCGTTGAACCTGCAGCTGCAGTACCACGGTCTGTATGGACCCTTGATGAGCTGCCATCTTAGCTAAGTAATGCTTACGCCAGCTTGTTGTGGATCCAACAGTAATGTCTCTTAAGTAGATGAAGCCCGGTGGGACCGGAATAACTCCTGCCAGTTCAAAGAGGGGGTGGGGTACATGCTGATACCTCCAATTATGAAGCCACTCCTGGCCAGGAAATCGGCTGCCTCGCCAGTTGAACTCTGATTTCCCATAGCCCCAACTTTACACTGGGATTGTTAGGGGAAAGCACCACAGTGTGCAGGAGCAGGTGAGTACTCACTTTGTGAACAATATGAGTCAAAATAATGCGCTGAACCCTCCTAAAACTACCTCAGAGCATGACTGATAAGCACCGCACTCTACATTTCCCTTGTTATTATCACTTTTATATCTAAGAAGATAAAAAGATTTGTTTTCCAGATCATCATAAACATTAAAAGCTGCAGTCAGTGTTTATGAACAAGGAATAGAGCAGCACTAAACAAACTAAGAACACTAGGATGGGAGGCAGCACACCTGATAATAGGGGAATCCCTCCAACCCCTAAGACAAACAACAATATACAGGTAGCACCAAGAAAAATACTCGAAACACAATAGTATATTATAATAATAAGAGCAATACGAGAAATAAAAAACCCACTTGATATAAAGAGTCCACAATAAAACTTTAAATAATAAAAAAATACCAAATGGTACGGCACAGTCTCAAAGGTGGCAATAGGTCTTCTAGTCCTGGTATGGGACTTTCTTGGTAGCTTTGCTTAATAGCAGTATATGAAAAGGAAGCAAAAACAGAGGAAAGCCAGTAGTGCAATATGGTAGTACGTGGTAGGACAAACAACACTTCGATAAGATAACTCGCATATAACCAGCTCTAGGTAAAACAGCCTGCAGTGGTATATAATCCCCACTTGCAGGATATCCTTCTGGTTTTGGTACACAGTAGAATGATGGTAAATCACAACTGGATAACGATGAGGTAGATCATATGGAATGACAAAAAAAGCAGCCAATAGTGCTCTCTATATAAATAGGTAAGTATCAATAAGGTAAATAAAAATATAGTGAGCAGACTAACCGCTCTATGTATCAAGCCTGGGTGGTATAATCCCCACCAAGGATTTCTTTTTTTGGTTGTCCACAGTAGGTAATGGGTCCAGATGTCAGGTGAAAGTATAAAAATAAATAATAAGTACTAAAAATATATGGCTAAAAGGCAGGTAGTGTGGTATACTTTTACTTGACATCTGGACCCATTACCTACTGTGGACAACCAACCAAAGAAATCCTTGGTGGGGATTATACCACCCAGGCTTGATACATATAACGGTTAGTTTGTTCATTCTATTGTAAGTATATTTTTATTTACCTTATTGATATTTAGCTATTTATATAGAGAGCACTATTGGCTGCTTTTTTGTCGTTCCATATGATCTACCTCATCGTTATCCAGTTGTGATTTACTGTGTAGCAAAACCAGAGGGATATCCTGCAAGTGGGGATTATATACCACTGCATGCTGTTTTACCTAGAGCTGGTTATAGCTCTACCATATGTGAGCTGATATCTTATCGAAGTGTTGTTTGTCCTACCACGTACTACCATATTGAACTATTAGTTTTCCTCTGTTTTTGCTTCCTTTTCATATACTGCTATTAAGCGAAGCTACCAAGAAAGTCCCGTACCAGGATTAGAAGATCTATTGTCACCTTTGAGACTCTGCCGTACCATTTGGTATTTTTTATTCTTTCAAGTTTTATTGTGGACTCTTTTTTTTTATATCCTGTGGTTTTTTTTATTGCTCTTATTATTATATACTATTGTGTTTGGAGTATTTTTCTAGTCAGTGTTTATGGACTATTAATTATGGTTTTTCTATCGGATATTATACATTTCATCCTAAATGATTCATTCTTTTCCTGTCATGACATACTAGCATGGAACGAATGTGCATATTCACTGGTACTTTGTTATATCCCTTGTTTTCCAGGTATGTTGAAAAATATGGGCTTGATGGTCCATGTCCAGACATAGAGGGCCTCCTGAAAAAGATAGCACTTAAACTGGGGAAGACTCAGAAGGTCAAGGCACTCACAGGGGTTGGTATGTACTAGGGAAATTTAAAAAGAGAAATTTAAATGCTCAAAACCAGAGCATTAGTGATATATATTTATGTATGTTTTGGAAGTGTGTGAGCACATACCTGCATTTTGGTATTCAGGACTTGTATGCACCAAAATTATTTTTGGGACGGGGAGGTGAGGTTTGTTTTTATTATGTAAAAGAAATGGCAGTAAAAAAAAAAAAACTAAAAAAAACTGTAATTAGAAATGCTGTTGCAACTTAAAACAAAATAATTGAATATTGTTATGTATATTTTGTAGTCATTACAAATAAGTCTTAAACAATTTTGTCCAAGAACAATATCCTTTGTGATAACTGGAAAACTGTTGTGTATGAGCTCATTTTTCACAGTTTCAATCTGTGTGTTTTAAGGTGACGTGAATATAACCGTGCCAAACTATAGTGCCGCCGCTTACGATTTTATCCGAACGTATCGGAGAGGAGAACTTGGACAGATGACTCTGGACTGAGCAGGTGGACTATATCTTGTGGATGAGACATCTGTTGTAATGATTCTGATGGATCTTTTATCTATCCAAGAGAAGGCTGTAATGTGAAACAAGCATGGAGACACTCTGGCTGAGTAATGACAAGTGCCAGATTAAGTTATTGAGGAATTAAATGCTTTGATTATTTCCTTTGTGTCAACATCCTCTCCTCTTTCTGGTTTTGTAGTTTTTTCCCATATTTAATCAACAATCAAGTTAATACCTTTATTCCTTACTCTGGATGTTGATTCTACTCCTCAATAATGCTTGGCAGACCTTGCCTTTTGTTATTCTCAATTGCTTGTTTTGTGGTATTTTACATTATTATAAAAAAAAAATGGATCAAACCAGTTGTCCCTGTTTTATGGGGATCAGAAGTGTCCAGTTCATAATTCTTTAAAAATACCTACAGAATACTTTGGGAGTAGTACGATCTCAGGGATAAAACATTTATGACTATAATTTTTGATGCATCAAAAAAGGAAATGATTTGGACCTTAACCAGTTTAAAGAAGTAAATCTGTAGTCTAAAAATAAGTAGTCTAAAAATAAAAGGATTTGGATCACATCATGAGTTTTGCTTTCCCGTAAAAGAATGTACACTGCTGCATACAATCATTTTTGTTAATTGAAAGGATCTAGATACAGTGTGCCAGGCAAAATATGAATGCTCTTGCATGGTTAATTGTAAAAAAGCATCAGCCATATTTCTATGATGCAAAATAGCATTCATAATAACACTTTAGGCACCCGCGGGCTATCTCTGGTCTTGTGCTGGGTTCCTTGTCATTATTATTTTTGTAAATATTACTGCTTGCTTTTAGAGCTTTGTTGTGATTTTTGGTTTTCCATTTATGACTTAATCAAACTGCACATTCTGAGCATCAGCGTTGCTGTACTTCATGTACCGAGAATAGATCTTACAAGTCCATATATTGTACTACCATTATTCTGATATATCACTGACATTGATAATGGAAGCTTTTCTACAATGTAAAAAATAGGTACACAAAGAGCCAATATGTCGGGTGATTTGTATTTTTGTGTGTGCCTGTCTACAAATAAAGAATAAAAAAAAAATTAAAATTACACTTTAATAATGTTTAAACATTTGTATTGATGTTTTTTTTTCTTTTTCAAGAAAACCAAGCACAAAACACTATACAACATACATACATGTTCAGAAACCTCAATGGAGTTAATGGGAATCATTGGATTGTTGTGTGATCAGTTTTTATTTCCCATGACTAAGAACTGCCTTTATCCTGGGTCTTACAGTTTATTAAATTCAGCTATCTGAACTTATTTTCTTAAAACTATTGCTATACAACAGACATTATTGCATGATCTCCAGAGACGACTCTGGCATCTGAACTAATGAATGATTCCTCCTTGGAGTAATATCATGTAGGCACCAAGGAACTTCTGATTCCAACATTTTACAAAATAACGTCTTGGCACTGTATATTTTATTTATGATTTATAATGCTAAATCTCTAGTATATGTCTGATACTAACTGTTCGGTAGAGATGTTAAAGGAACATTATAGAGACAGGAATACAAACATGTACTCCTGTCACTGTAGCTTGAGAAAACACATGTTGGGCCCCTGTCAGCAATGCAATGGGTGATTTTACTCTGTAAAGGAAGTAAATAAGTATTTCAGATTCGATTTACTTGAATTAAAAACAAAATGAAAACAAAATACTTGTAACATCAAAGGTAAAGCTTCCTCCTCTCCCAAGATGAGTTTCAACAAGATGGCTTTTTCAATTAGTGCCAAATGAAAATGACCAAAATACCAATTGAAAAAGCCCTATTGGTGAGACCCGTCTTGGGAGAGGAGGACGCTTTACCTTTAATTATACAAGTATTTTATTTGTTTTAAATCAAATAAATCCCTATTTAAATGCTTACCCTTCCTCATATTTTCACCTGCATCCTGGTTCCACAGGATAGTGTTACCCTAGAAATTGACTCAAGGTCTGACAGCTGGGAAACAGTTATAAATGGGATCCAGAAAAGGTGAGCACACACCTCTATATACATGAATACTTTGACTGATATATATATATATATATATCAATCAATCAAAAATGGGATGTACTCACGGGTCTTCAAATTGGTGAAAAATGGTGCTTTATTGATACATAGGATGTATACAGAAACCGACCAACGTTTCAACCCTGCCAGGTCTTTTTCAAGATCACTGAATACAAATCATGCATGTGCTTTTATATGTGATATGAAAAATAACTTACCAATCAATGGTGTTAAAAGAAAATGATCATGGCAAATAGTGCCAGTTTAAAATAAGTAATAAACAAGAGTAGACTAGAAACCAGTGAATGTGAAAAAAATGTACTGTGTGCCAGAATAATGATCAAACCGTAAATCTTGTGCATAGTGACTAAGTGAAATGAACATGTAGAGTCTACTCAAAAAAGAGTCTAACGTACTTAGATAAATAATACATATATAACAAGGTTGCGGCTTGCGGCAATGAATCAATTTACATGTTACAATAATCGATCTAATGGTCAAAGCATGATGATACTATAAACAAATCAATACGCTGATCACAATAGAGAAGACATATCTCAAAGAAAATACAAGTAATATGTATAGTAGGCAAAAGATATAGATAATCCTAGTGTGAAAACAAGCGTTTGAATGCCATATACCGTAATAGAAATGGGACTTATGTGAGTATTGAACCAGATTGGACAGACAGGCTAGCAGGGAAATAGAATGTGTTAGACTACCAGTCAGCCAAGGAATATGTTCTACACCATCAAGTGGCTGGTCAAACCCAAAATGCCCCCTTGAATGTTTGGCCTTGTTAAATTGGCTTTTTAAATTGCAATTAGTGTCTGTGTATAAATAGTCAATGAGTCTGTTAGCTCTGAGCAGGAGGAGAAGAAAAGAACTATCAAAAGACCTGTGTAACAAGGTAATGGGACTTTATAAAGATGGGAAAGGATATAAAAAGATATCCAAAGCCTTGAAAATGCCACTCAGTACTTGTTTTCACACTAGGATTATCTATATCTTTTGCCTACAATACATATTACTTGTATTTTCTTTGATTTGTCTTCTCTAGTGATGTCCCGAACGGTTCGTCGCGGACTCTTCATTGAGTAAACTTTGACCCTGTACCTCACAGTCAGCAGACACATTCCAGCCAATCAGCAGCAGACCCTCCCTCCCAGACCCTCCCACCTCCTGGACAGCATCCATTTTACATTCATTGTGAAGCTGCATTCTTAGTGAGCTGTCCCGGGAGATGGGAGGGTCTGCTGCTGATTGGCTGGAATGTGTCTGCTGATTGTGAGGTACAGGGTCAAAGTTTACTCAATGATGAGTCCGCGGCAAACTGTTCGGGACATCACTAGTCTAATCTATTGTGATCAGCGGATTTATTTGTTTATAGTTTATAGAAATAATTTCCCATATCTTAACACGTTTTAGTACTTTATTTGTATTCAAAAATAATTTATATTGTATTTTGTGCATTTGTTTTTTTTTCTTTTTTAAATTTAAGAAAAAATCACTTATTAAGAAGTGGAAAATTCAGGGATCTCTTGTCACCAAGCCAAGATCAGGTATACCAAGAAGGATTGTTCGGGATACATAGAAAAACCCACAGGTAACCTCAGGAAATACAGGCTGCTCTGGAAAAAGATGGTGTGGTTGTTTCAAGGAGCACAATACGACGATACTTGAACAAAAATTAACTGCATGGTCAAGTTGCCAGAAATAAACTTTTAATGCGCCAATGCCACAAAAAAAGCCCGGTTACAATATGCCTGACAACACCTTGACACACCTCAGCTTCTGGCACACTGTAATTTGGAGTGACAAAACCAAAATAGAGCTTTATGGTCACAACCATAAGCACTATGTTTGGTGAGGGGTCAACAAGGCCTATAGTGAAAAGAATACCAGCCCGACTGTGAAGCATGGTGGTGGCTCACTGATGTTTGGGGGGGGAGCTCTAAAGGCATGTGAAAATTGATGGAATGATGAATGCAGCATGTCTGGGAGACAATTGCATTCTTCTGCATAAAGGATGCGCATGGGATGCTCTTGGGCTTTCCAGCATAATGACTCTAAGCACAAGGCCAAGTTGACCCTCCAGTGGTTACAGCAGAAAAAGGTGAATGTTCTGGAGAGGCCATTACAGTCTCCTGAACTTTTAATATCTTTTGAGCCACTCTGGGGAGATCTCAAATGTGCAGTTCATGCAAGATGACCAAAAGATTTTGCAAGACCTGGAGTCATTTTGCCAAGACGAATGGGCAGCTATGCCAACTGCAAAAATAAGAGACCTCATAGACAACTATTACAAAAGAATGCATACTGTTATTCATGCTAAAGGGGGCAATACACAGTATTAAGAACTAAGGGTATGCAGACTTTTGAACAGGGGTTATTTCATTTGTTTCTTTGTTGCCATGTTTTGTTTTATGATTGTGCCATTCTGTTATAACCTACAGTTGAATATGAATCCCATAAAACATAAAAGAAATGTGCTTTGCCTACTCACTTATTTAAAATGGTACATATATTACCAATTCGCCAAGGGTATGCCAACCTTTGAGCAAATCTGTATGTATGGTTTTAACCTCCCTCATGTTTGAGGGATAAGTGCATATGTATATTCACTAGCTTCAGACTAACACTTTTAAGTTTAAATGGTGGGGAACATCACCCTAACATTTGGGTCTATTTTTTTTATTTATTTTGTTTGCATTAGTGGAATTTTGGGGGCATTCACCGAGTATTTATAACTGCTTTTCATTAATTCATCACTAAGCACCTTCTACTACACACTTGTTACACAATTCTCTGTAACAAGTGCCTTAGTGGGGAACAGAGCTCTGATGCATATTATTGGACATAGGAGGATTTAACAAGAAAAACAAAACATATATATACTTATGATGGACTCAAACGAGTTGTAGTATAAGATATAAGC